CAGCTGGGCTCAGTGGCACACGCCTATAATCCCAGCACTAGGGAGGCTGAGGCAGGAGGATCACTGCAAATTCAAGATCACCCTGGGCTACAAAGTGAGCTCAAGCCCAGCCTGAACTGCACAGCGAGCCCCTGTCTCAAAGCAAAACAAAAACAAACAAACAAAAAAACCAATAAAAGTCAAAGGCCAAGGAAAATCAGGAAGGGAAAAGAGTAAGGGGGTAGGGGCTGGGGGTTTAGCTCAGCGGCATAAGCACCTGCCTTGCAAGCAGGTGGTTGTGAGTTCGATCCCCGGTACCGATAAAAATGAAAAAGACAAAAAAAAAAAAAAAAAGAGTAAGGGGGTGATGCATGTGGCTGCCCTGGGAGAGGAGCCTGTCCCATTGGCCGAGTGCGCAACCTCCGGCTGGAGCCACAGTGTACATTTTATGGAGGCTCTCAGAGTCCAAAGCAGCTCTCAGTGCTCCTGTGCTAACAGCTGGGGACGGGTCCAGGCGGCCGCAGAGGACCAGGTGGCAGCCTTACCCAGCCAGCACCGGAGACGCGCTGAGCAACAGCGCCACCTGGTGGACGACTTGGCGACCTCGGGAGGAGGTAGGGCAGGTGGCTCGTCACAGAGCAGGGACTTCGAGCCACTTCCGAAGCCCACTCCGGGCACCTCTAGACGCCCCTGCACCGCACTGCCTCCTGCAGGCGTGATCAGGCAGCTGTTTAACAGAAAGTTCAGCCAGATGCATTGATTGATTGATCTCCTGATTGACTGAAGGAACGCAGGCGTTTGCACTGAGCTACATCCCCGGGCTTTTTTTTAAAATTTTAGACAGGGTTTCAAAGTCGCTAAATTGCCTAGGCTGGGCTCCAATTTAAGATATTCCTGCCTCAGCCTCCCAGAGTGTTGGGATTACTGAAATGCATGGCCACCATGTTGAGGAGTTCTTCTTCATTTTAGAACTCTGACTCCAGAGGTTCTCCCCATCTTCTTCCTCAACCTTTCACCTAAGACTTTTTTTTTTCCTTTTGTCTTTTTGAGACGGGGTCTCACTATGCAGTTCTGGCTGGCCTTGAGCTCACTTTGTAGCCCAGGTTGGTCTCGAACTTGCAACACTCCTCCTGCCTCAGCCTCCCATGTGCTGGGAGGGATTACAGGCGTGAGCCACCATGTCTGGCTTCTTTTCCATCCTTGATTTCACTTCCTTTTTAAAAATACATTCACGCCGGGCATGGTGGCTCATGCCTGTAATCCCAGCACTTGGGAGGCTGAGGCAAGAGGATCTTTGGGAGTTCAAGACCAGCCTGGGCTACAAAGTGAGCTCAAGACCGGCCTGAACTGCATAGTGAGACCCTGTCTCAAAAAGACAAAAAAATAAATAAATAAAAATACATTCACTTCCAGAAACTGCGCATGGTGGGATACACCTATAATCCCAGCACTGAGAAGGCTCAGGCAGGAGAATCTTAGAGGGCTCTAAACCAGTTTGAGAGGTTGAGGGAAGAGGATGGGTTGCAAGTTGGAGACCAGCCTGGGCTGCAAAGTGAGCTCAAGGACAGCCTGAACTGCGTAGCAAGACCCTGTCTCAAAAAGACAAAAAACCAAAATAACAAAACACTGGGCTACACAGTGAGTTCAAGGCCAGCCTGCACTCAGTGAGACACTCTCTCAAAAAACAGACAACCTGGGGCTAGGATTTAGCTCAGCGGCATAAGCGCCTGCCTTGCAAGCAGGCAGTCGTGAGTTTGATCCCTGGTACCGATAAAAAGGAAAAAGACCAAAAAAAAAAAAAAAAAAAAAAACAGACAACCCCCAAAACAAAAACAGAAACCAAAAACTTTAGATCTCAGCCTCCATTACTGGTTCATTTTGAAGATCACAGGCACGCCTTGAAACCAGACACCGCCTCATTGCGGCCACATGGTCTGGGCAGGTCTCCACCTCCCCGAATCCGTAAGCTGGGGCTGGAGGTCTTCACCACCTGGAGTTCTGGTCAGCACCAGGTGAGGCAGTGCAGGCCAAAGCCCAGGACAGCGCCTGTGATATCACTGGGCTCCTAAGTGGTCACCAAAGCCACGTTCCTTTCCAGGGAGTGCTTAGACAGAGACCGGAAGGGGTGAGGAGAGGAGGCAGCAGGATGAGCCTTTATCACCCCCCACACACCAGGGGGAGGGCAGGAGAGGACAGAGGGACCAGCTCCTGGAAACTGGAGGCTTTAACATTTAAATGGCTTCCCAGGCGAGATAAACAGAGTCCCAGTGCCCAGCAAGGAAACAGGACTTGGCAAGGGCCCCAGAACTTTCTCCACCCCAGCCCTCCCTAGATTTCCTCTTGTGGTTTCTCAAAAGTACAACCTGTTCTTCACACACTCAAGAGACAGGACCGCAGGGGAGGGGACAGCAGGGGGCAGGGTCGCTGAGAGGGAGGGGGAGGGGCGGGGAACAGCCTGATTCGCTCTTAAAGTCAAGTCCTATCATCTGGCCCTGCCCTCTGCCCTGGAGTCCTGCCATGACACCCCTCCCCCTCACAACCCTCTTACAAGGTGGCTTGGCCCTTCCCCCCAGGCACAGGTCCCCCATGGAAAACTGAGGTTCCAGAAAGGAAGTGGAAAAATAGCCAGATCCAGGCTCACACCAGCGGCACTGCTCCAGCCCGCCCCAGGGAATGGGCTGCTTGGAAGTCGGAAAGCGAAGCTTTCAGTTGCCCACATTCCCAGATCCCAGCACCCGGCACCCCCTTGGAGCAATGCTTTCAAGCCGGGAGAAGTGGCCCATGGGTGTAATCCCAGCACTTGGGAGGCTGAGGCAGGAGGATCAAAGCAAGTCTGAGGACAACTAGGGCTACATAATAAGTTTGAGACTAACCTAAATTATATACTGAGACCCCTATCTCAAAAGATAAAAAAACCCAGGATTTTAGCTCAGCAGCACAAGCACCTGCCTGGCAAGCATGAGGTTATAAGTTCCATCCCTGGTACCAAAAAACAAAAAACAACAAAGTCATTCTTTCCCGCACTCACCCTTGTGTCATCTATGCCCCCCCCTTCCTCTGGAGGAGTGAACCTTACATGCCAACACACACAAACACATACCACCAGTTAGTTCTGTACCATCGTCGGAGTCCTGCTCCAGGCCAGCTGGGGCCCTGGGACCAGCTTGAGCCCCAAGCTGGGCTAACAGACAAAAGCTCACATCTCCACATCACCTGCGACAGGGCACTGTCCAAGACAGGGGCAGTGACCCTTCAAGACCCCAATGCCAGGCTCGCACACTCAGCCTGCCCAGGAGGCAGGTGGCTGGGTGCCCAGGAGCAGGGTCTCCTGAGTCATGTGACTCTGGGTTGGATCCCAGCTCTGCCACTGACTTCCACTCCCCCTTCAAGAAGACTGGTCCTCCCTCTGTCTGTGTTCCACAAGACAGCGATGTTCCCATGACTCTTCCTAGGACTGTGAGGAGGATCCCATGAGATGTGACATCGAAGCCATCAACTGAGACCTGACCAACTGTGCCATGTAACGGTCAGCTAGCATACATGTGGGACCACGGATGTCGTGGGCACAAGGAACCAGCACAGACAGGGACCCCCTGGACCAATCAGAATCTCCAACCCATCCACCACAACTACACAGACCATGCATGACCACAGTGAATGGTGTCAAACTAAGAAACCACTGTGCAAGTGACAAGTCTCAACTCAGAGCCAGCAGGGAAAGAAGAGGACACAGGACCCCACGCAACAGCCAGCCACTTCTCCACCCACGTCAGGTCCCAGAGGAAACGGGTGAGCCCTTGTTAGAGAAAGCAGTACCGGAGCCCTGGATGGGGGAGAGCCCCAGGATGGTGTGGAACTCTCGTTGAGCCCCGGGGGGACCACTGTCTGCCCCTGGAGAATAGGGGACTCTCAGGGCTGGTACATCTAGTTGGTCTCCTCCTCCCTTTCTCACCTGCATGGTGGGTGAAACAGCAGGATTGCTTTGGAATCACCATGTGGTGGACACTACAGCCAGGGTTCAGCCCAGTTCTGGGGGCCACAAAGACTGGCCCCCAGATCCCCTGCTTGGTGACTTGTTCTTCCTTTTCTGGGAAAGCCCACCCAGCCCCCTGGCCCCTCATCACTGCTGTGTGTGACCTGACAGACCAGAGGGGGACCACAGCTCTCCAAACCCTCAGCATCCGTACAAACTGAGGCACTTGATCCATCCAAAGAAATCAGTCCCTCCCTTAGGGACAGCAGCCAGCGTCTTCCACACTGACAGACACAGGCAGTGAGGGTGGCACCTGCGTGCCCACTGGGGGACACCACCGAGGGTCCCTCCTTGGCCTGGTACCAAGCTCACAAGCGCACCCAAGGACTCTATATATCCAGGGCCCCTGCTTTAGGAGACTTCTCTGTCCTCGTGGACAGGACGGCTCGTGGACAGAAAGCTGCGCTCTGGCGACCATCGGGGCGGTGATGAGGCGCGTGACACCTTCACCAGCTCCTGGCTCCCAGCTCCAGGTCCCCGTTGAGGCCCCGCTTGAGCGACACCCGGAGAGGGTCGCGGGGTCACGCACCTCGGCCCCAACCTACCTGGTCCCGGAGCCTGCGGTGGCCGCCGCAGTCGGGCCGGTCACTGGGGAGCGGGCGGCATCTCCCCGGGAGGGGGCGGCCTGCCCTCGCTCCCGGCGCCCAAACAACCCAGCGGGCTCCCCCGCGGGCGGACGTGTTTACACAGCCCGCGCAGCCCGGCAAGTTTGAAGCTGGGCAGGAAGTGGGGAACGGGGGAGGAGGGGGGCGCGGTCCTCAGGACGTAAACAACCACGCGGATTCCAACCCGCTGCGCCGCAGGCAGGGCAGGCCGCGTGCGCTCCTTGCCTTGCACCCAAAGGGAAAATTGAGGCAGGTGCGGCGAGGTGAAGTGTCCAGAGTCCCACAACCGGGGAGGAGTTGGGTTTAAACCCTTGTCTGAGACCCCAAGGGCCCCCGAGACCCAGGTACTGGGCGCTCCGAGACCCAGGAGGATAAGGGGGCGTGGCGTGGCTAGCACTCACCTGGGACGCGCCTCGCCTCCAGCGACGTCACGGGCCCAAAGCAGCCCCGCCCCTCGCCTCCGCCACATCGATCGCGACTACAAGTCCCATCCCGCCCCGCGCTGACGCTCACGACGCCACAGCAAGATGGCCGACACTGCGTCCACAACCGGGGCTGGCGGCTCTGGAACGGTAAGGGAAGGAAGCGCGGGGCCGGGACCTAGAGAATTTGGGTGTCCTCTAACTTCTCTGTGGCCTAGGCAATACGCTCTTCCCCAGAAGCCCAGCCCCACCATGAGCCCTGAGTGGAGGAGGGTCTTTCAGGTCGTACGTGCCCCCCTTCTTGGACTTGGCCAAGGCCTCCAGAGTTGATGGACCTACATCCTGATTGGCTCGTCCCTTTTGCGTGTGGGGGGTGGGAACCCGGAACACCTTGTGATTGGTCCAAAGAGGCCGCTTTTACCTTCTTATTGGCCAACCCAGGTTAGGAGGGATTCCCTTTTCAAAATATTTAGCTCCTCTACGTTTTTTGTGCCGTTACCCTTTGCCCTCTTCTAGACATCATGGATTATTTTAATTTTTTTTGTTAATGTAATGGTGTAGAGAAGGGAGGAACAAAAGAGAGTTCCTTTTTCTTGTGAAATAGATTTATTCAGTCCTATCAAGTGTGTTCAGCTATACGTTCTGCTAACCTGCTAAAGTAGAAAGTGAAAAACAGCCATTTTGTCCTGTGGGAATGTTTTAGATTATTAAAAAGTTTTCTCTGTATTTAGCTCATCCTCAGTGCTCAATTATTACTCAGTTGGCCAAGATCTATGAATCTAGACATTAGCCAGGCATGATGGTGCATGCATGTAATCCCAAGATTTAGGAGGCTGGGGCAGGAGAATCATTGTGAGTTCGAGGCCAACCTGGGTTAACTCAAGGCCAGCTAGAACTGGATTGCAAGACCCCGTCTCAAAAAAAAAAAAAAAAAAAAAAAAAAAAGAAAAAGAAAAAAAGTAAAGATCTGAACATTAAATACCCATAAGGTGGTATTTAGCAAGAGAACTTTTGGTAAACTATGTGATTGCATAGATTCCTGTGGTTGGAAAATCTGTCTCTTTGCCCTTCCTCCTCCTTGACAATTCACAGAGATCAGGAAGTAAACAGTCCACTAACCCTGCTGATAACTACTATCTGGCCCGGAGGAGAACCTTGCAAGTGGTGGTGAGCTCCTTGCTGACCGAGGCAGGATTTGAGAGTGCTGAGAAAGCTTCTGTGGAAACGCTGACTGAAATGCTGCAGAGCTGTGAGTACTGGGAAGCATCGAGCCTTTTTTAAGTCGATCCCAATGTTTGTACCCTGCCCTGCATGGTGATGGTGGTAGAGAGCATTTGAAGGGAAAACTGGGCACAGTGAGGTGATTTACAGACTTCAGAATCAGATGGATGTAAATATAAATCATCTTTCTGCCACTAGTAGTTTGGGTTGGTCACTAAATTGCAATTTTCTTGCTTGAAATGGAACAATAATTTGTTCCTGGGGGAGATGTGAGTATAAGTTAGAGGTATATGCAGAATGTTTAGTGCAGGGGAGATTGTAAACTCCTGATGATTGATAGATGCCCTTCTTACTGGTTTCCCCTCTATTCTCCAAGGACTTATACTTTTGCTAAGGAAGCAGGATTATGTAATCAGCTACTAGACTGTGACACAAAGAATGAGAATGGGTAAGTTTTAAGGAATGGAAAAAATTATATTTGAAAGAACAAGTCTTAGCCAGGCATAGTACCACATACTTAGAAGCCCAGCTATTCAGGAGGCTGAGGCAGAAATATCTTAAGTTTGAGCCAACCCTGGTCAACTTAGTGTGATGTTACTTCAAAATAAAATTAAAAAGTGTTGGAGAGCCTGGGATTTAGCTCAGTGGCCTAAGCATCTGCCTGCCAAGTGTGAGGTTGTGAGTTTGATCTCCGGTACCCCTCCAAAAAAAGTGTTGGGGGTACAGCTCAGTGATAGGGTGCACTGATGTTTTTGAGGGATTCTCTCTGAAAGTAAATAGGAGGAAGGTTCGGTTATAGAGAAATGTTTGATTGCACATCTGTGTTGTAGCAGTTTCTTTCCTTTTGGAGGAATGAAATCCTCTGTGTAGAATGGATAAATGTGTGTGTGTGTGTGTGTGTGTGTGTGTGTGTGTGTGTGTCTGTCTGTCTCCTTTCCAGGCGCCTTCAGTTCTTCCCACCTTTTCATTATTTTGAACAGTGCTGACCACAGCATTCAGGGGGGAGTCCATTTTCATTCCGTTTGGATATGGACCATTGCCGGGGCACTGTGGCAAATCCACATTTTGCTTTTGAGGAACTGTGACAGACCCTATGGCTTTAATCCCCCCACAGACATTTCCGAAATTGGAAGGAGCGCCAAGTCGTACTGCGAGCACACAGCCAGGACCCAGCCCACGCTGTCGGATATCGTGGTCACACTGGTTGAGATGGGTGAGTGCATCCCCACACCCCTCATGGTTCCCTGATCTGCATTTAGCTTCCGGTTATCACCAGAGGGCTCCTCTGTGCCCACATCAGAGGCTCCTGACCCCTCCCTTGGGGTTCATGCTGGCACTTTTTCCGAGGGCTCACACCGTGGTTGTTTTAGGAGTTGTAGCCCTTTCCGTGTTTACCGTCCAGTGGTCCAGGCAGGACTGTGTTTTCTCGTCTCGTAGGTTTCAACGTGGACACTCTGCCTGCATATGCAAAGCGGTCTCAGAGGATGGTCATCACTGCTCGTAAGTGACCCCATGGAATATTCAGGGAGCGCTCAGGGAACGCTTGTGAGGGAGCTAAGTGTTGAACTGGGGCGGGACTGCATTGGGAGCACTTCCTCCATTGCCAGCCCCCTTCCAATATCTGGGGCCGCCCTTAGCCTGCTCTTCCTCTGGGCTCATGGGATTAGCACGTGGAGTTCAGTCCCCACTGTGGAAAGCCATCCCGAGACACTGCCCTGAGCTTTAGCCCAGAAGTGTGAAGGGTGCTGGGTGAAGAAAGAGGACGTTCATGTTGCTCCTTAGATCAGGGCCGCTGAACAGTGGCCCCCAGGCCCATTGCTGCCCACTGCCCGCTTTGTTTGTTTGTTTTGTTTTGTGTTTTTGTTTTTTGAGACAGAGTCTCACTATACAGTCCTGGCTAACCTTGAACTCACTGTGTAGCCCCCGCTGGCCTCAAACTTGCAGTGATCCTGCTGCCTCAGCCTCCTGAGTGCTGGGATCATATAGCATGTGCCATCACATCCGACCTAAAGTCACTTCTTCCTTCCTTCCTTCTTTCCTTCCTTCCTTCATATTCAGTAATTCTTCTCAAAGTAGCAGTGCAGGATGCTGTTTTCCTTTTGGCTTGTTTTTGAGACAGGGTCTCACTGTGTAGTTCAGACTGGTCATGAACTCACTATATTGCCTAGGCTGGCCTTGAACTCTTGGGGATCCTCCTGCCTCTGCCTCTTGAGTGCTAGGATTATAAGTGTGCACCACCACACTTGGCAGAGGATGCTATTTTCCTGTCCCTCTTGTAATCTTTAAACCCACACTTGCTTTCCCCAGCTCCACACACACCTTTGTAATTTGGAGCCTGAACATTTTGGGGGTGCAATGATTGAGCCCAGGGTCTTTTTGGTAACTAGTGTGCTGTACTGTTGAGCCACACCACCAGTCCTGGGGTCTCTGGACAGAGAATCTGAAGCCTCCTAACTTCTGTAGTTCTGCACACTCTTTCCTGTAACTGCTTTGGTTACAGCCACACACCTAGCAACCTGACAGGTTTTCGGCATGTCGTCACAGATGGGAAGGTCAGCTGAGGCCACAGGGCAGGCTCTACAGACACGGCCTTCTCTAGTCCTTAAGACCTCGAAGGCCCCTACCCTTTTTTTTTTTTTTTTTTTAACTAAGGATGAACTCATGCCCTCGAACTTGCCAGGCAGGTGCTGAGCTGCTGAGCTACATCCCCTGCCCTCAAAGGCCTTTTATTGATAGACATACGAAGTGCCTGCTGTGTAGAAAACTGTGGTCTAGGTGGGGGATGTAGCTCACTGGTGCAGAGCCTGCCCAGCAAGTGTGAGGTCCTGAGTTCGATTCCCAGTACCAAAAGAAAAAATAGAACACTGTGGTCTAGTGAGAGGAGAGGGATTTAGACCGACAGCAGGAACAGGGCAATGCTGGAGGAGTGACCAGCTGTGATTCTCTTGCAGCTCCGGTGACCAATCAGCCAGTGACCCCCAAGGCCCTCACAGCGGGGCAGAACCGACCCCACCCGCCGCACATCCCCAGCCACTTCCCAGAGTTCCCGGACCCCCACACCTACATCAAAACCCCGGTGAGTGGCGGAGCCAGGCTGCACTGCCCAGTTGCTTCTGTTGGCTGTTGCTGGCCAGGAGCCCAGGGCCAGAGGTGGTCAGGGGAGGAGGGCTTTAGGTCCACAATGCCTCTGCCCACCCACAGCAAGGCAGCACGGCAAGTGAAAAATATGTCAAAAGCTGCCACCGAGGAAGTGGAGGCCAGAAATTTGCCTGTCCCACCTAAACACAAAAGATCTTAGCCACATAGCAGCAAAGCCAGAAGGATATCCCACAGAGGCAATGTGTGTGCTGACGCCAGGGAGAGCAGAGGCAGTTCCGGTCATTCCGTGTGTACTTGTCTGGGTTTTCACATTTTCTATTGTAGCAAAGTTATTTTCTATCTATTGGTTAATTTTTTGTGGTCAGTACTGAGGGTGGAGCTGAAGGCCTTCACTCTGAGCTGCATCCCTAGCCCTTTTTGGGTTTCTTTCTTTGAGTGGGATCTCTCTTGAGTCGCTAAATTATCCAGGTGGGGTTCAATTCACAGTCCTCCTGTCTCAGCCTCTCAAAGTGCTAGGGGTTACAGGTATAGCACACCTGGTTGTTTTTTTGGTGACGTGGTCTCCGTACGTAGTCCAGATCAGCCTTGAGCTCAGTGTATAGCCCAAGCTGGCTTCAAATTTGTGACCTTTCTGCCTCAGCCTCCTGAGTGCTGGAATGACGCATTTTTCTTAATTTTTAAGATTAAAAATAAAGACAGCTGTATTTCCACCATTTTCTTTCTGCCTTTTCAGTGCGTTCTGGAGAGCTCAGCTCGGAAGGGTGATGGAGGCCAGCATAGGAGGTGGAGACCTTGTGGCAGCAGGGCAGGGACCGGGGAGAGCAGGGAACATCGCTCACTGGGCGTCCTCACCGCTGTCTTTGCAGACATACCGGGAGCCCGTGTCCGACTACCAGGTCCTGCGGGAGAAGGCTGCGTCCCAAAGGCGTGACGTGGAGCGGGCGCTCACCCGCTTCATGGCCAAGACAGGCGAGACCCAGAGCCTTTTCAAAGACGATGTCAGCACCTTCCCATGTGAGCGCCACCCCCTGAAGCCCCAGATTGTCATTGGCGATCACCACCCCGCTTCCGCTGCTCTCAGCTCGGGCAAAAGAATAAGGTTCCGTCCCTGCTGCAGCATATTCTTCTGGTTTTAGGCCCCTTTCCCAGTCAGTCTCTGAGCCTGCAGGATTGGCTGCTAGGGACAGGTCAGATTCCGCTCACCACAAGGATGGCTGAGCCCAGGGCAGAGACTCACACAGAAGTGGTGGCCCGTGGAGCCACCGGTGGGTGCTGGTGCCGAGGCTGGCTGCTGTCACAAGGTCCCTCCCTGGTGCCATCTCTGAACCGTGCGTCTCTGTGCCATCTGGCCAGTGTGGCCCAGGTCTCTCCTCTCCATAGCAGTCTTGGTCCTGTGGTCACCAAATGCCAGACCCCTGCTGCTGGCTTCCCACCTGCTGTGGTCCTCTGTGAGTCTGTGAGTGAGGACTGTCATTGTCACCTTTGGGGGAAACAAGGCTCACAGAGCAACGAGGTCACCGGCCCAGGGTCACAGGCTGCATGGTACATTCAGGCCTCGATCCTCCTGGTGCCCGAGCCTGCCTCAATCCACAGTGAAGATGATCCAGTTGTCTCCTGAGACCAGAGTCTCCAGAGAGGAACGTGCAGATGTGTTTCCCTTTGTAAGACAGGGTCTTACAAAGCAAGACCCTGTCTCAAAAAACAAAACATTTTATAAAAGAGGAGAAACAAAGCGAAATGGATATCTCAGCAGCAGAGCAGTTGTTAGTACACAGGAGGCCCTGGGTTCCATCCCACCTGATAGGTATTGCACCGAAGGAAAGGAAGGGAGAAAAGTGGGAGGAGGAGGAGGGAGGAGAGAGAGAGAAATGAAGCCTTGAGGGGCTGACTGGCCTTGGGAGAGAGGTCACACAGCTACTGCATCCCTGCATTCCAGCTGTCGCCCGATCATCCTGTGTGAGCAGTCTCTCTTGCTGAACATGGGGCTGGTGTGTCATTACCCATGTTCGAAACCCTCTCTGCCGTTTCCTGTGTGCTTGAGAAGCTTGCTGACCACTGTGCCCCACGCCCCTTGTCTGTGTGTGGGGTGACACCTGCATCACTGAGCAGGGTGGGTGAGGGCCGGGGGTGGCGCGTGGGGAGCTGGGGACCATGCCTGGCCCGCCGTGCTGTGCGGGAGTTCTGGTGCTGAGCGCTGCCTGCTGCAATGCTCAGTGCAGCCATGAGGACCTGCAGCAGTCCCCGTGCCTCCCTTCCCGTCCCCAGTGATCGCCGCCCGGCCCTTCACCATCCCCTACCTGACTGCCCTTCTGCCCTCGGAGCTGGAGATGCAGCAGATGGAGGAGACAGACTCCTCGGAGCAGGAAGAGCAGCCGGACGCGGAGAACCTGGCCCTGCACATCAGCACGGTGGGTCCCTTCCCACGCCTGGGGACAGAAGTCCTGCCCCAGTGTGCAGGGGAGCAGTGATGATGATCTGATTGGGACCGGCCTGGCGCCCAGCATGGGTGACATCCAGGTCCCGGGGAGTCTCCCATTCATTCCCCTAATGATGCTGCCAGGAACGGGCACAGCACCAGGGGCGGGAACAGGTGGGAGGGGAGGGAAGGAGGAGTAAGAGGTTAGAAGAGCCGGGTGTAGTGGTGAACACCTGTAATCCCAGCACTCAGGAGGCTGAGGCAGGAGGGCCACTGTGACTTTGAGGCCAGCCTAGGCTACAAAGTGAGTTTGTGGTCAACCTGAACTACATAGTAAGACCCTGCTCAAAAAAACAAAAAATAAACCAAAAAAAAAAAAAAGTCAGGAGAAAGGGAGGCAGAAATGAGGATGGGAGGGCTGGGGAATAGAAGGTGACATTTGTGCAGTCCTGTATCCCCCACAACAGCCTCTTCTAGTCGACTTCAGCGAGGGCTTCTCTTGCTGATAGCTGTAAAACACGAATCTCAGTGACCTTCCTCCGCTCACCCAGTCCCAGTCCCAAGCCTGAGCTCTTGGGTGACATTTTTGGGGTTGTGATCCCCCCCACCTCTGTACCCTCTGCTCACTTTAAAGCACTTAGAAAGTAGAGGAAAATATCAGCAAGCAAGGGGCTGGGGATTTAGCTGAGTGGCATAAGCACCTTCCTTGCAAGCAGGCAGTCATGAGTTTGATCCCTGGTACCTATAAAAAAATTTTTAAAAAAAGAAAATATCAGCAAGCAAAGAGAATCACATATTCCAGGGCAGATTTTAAAATCCCAATGCGTTGCTTTTTTCCTAAGTCCACACAACTGTGATATTTTTAAAAATTTTAATTGTGATCACACTGAATATATATGAACTAAAGATTTCTCCAGAATCACATTGTCCTCAGATAAACAGTAGAAGTCCCAAGGTCACAGGTAGGTGGTACTGGCCGTGGGAACACGGTGGTCCCTGCATGTGAGCTGGGCCATGTGCAGACCCCAGGATCCCAGAAGTTTCCAGCTGTGCTGAAATATGATCATTGTTACCGTCCTGCAAGCACAGGAAGTTGGAGAATCTGGGGCAGATGTGTTCTGAGTGGTTAGGTTTGGCCTAGATGACCCCTGAGGACTTGGTCTGCTCCAGCGTGTTTTCTGGTGTCACGAGACACCTGCTGTTCCTGATCCCATACTGGACCGGGCTCCCCCGGCAAGCGTCTGAATTGTGGCCTCTGCTCCCTGCTGAGCCGGACGCGGGGCCCTGTCCTGGTGCTGCACTGTGACAGCCGGAGTCCCGTGCTCTTGCAGCAGCTGCCGCCTGCACAAGCCCAAAACAGCGCTGTGACGCATGAGACTCCCAGCTCCTCCTCTCCCAGTGCAGGCCGCCCATGGCCATTCTGGGTATGGGCGTCGTCTCCTTCTCAGAGGTTGATACTTTGCTTTGTCTTCTGCTCAAAGGACGAGTCTGGGGCAGAGAAGGAGAACACATCCGTCCTGCAGCAGAACCCTTCCCTGACAGGCAGCCGAAACGGGGAGGAGACCGTCATCGACAACCCCTACCTGCGCCCCGTGAAGAAACCCAAGATCCGCAGGAAGAAGTGAGTGGGGGCCGGGCTCCCGGGCGCCCCTGTGGCCCACCGGGCTGCTCCTCCTGGGGGAGAGTGGGCTTGGGCCCGGGGACCACCCCTCACGCCCCACTGGCTTCCCCTCAAGGGCTGCTGCTGCTGCTTCTCTGCAGGTCTCTGTCCTGAGCTGACAAGAAAGCCTGGCTCACAGAGGGACACAGATGCAACCTTCCCAGGAGAGTTGAAGCCACTCGGGGAAGAAGCGGGTGACCTGGTGACTGAGCAGAGGCAGGGTGTGATTGCGCAAGATTTTAATAGCAAACCACATCAGGATCACTGGTTTGCAAGCGCAAGGTCCTGAGTTCAATTCCCAGTACCAAAAAAAAAAAAAAAAACCAAGCTGGGCGTGGTGGCTCATGCCTATAATCTCAGCGCTCGGGAGGCTGAGGTGGGAGGATTGTTTCGAGTTTGAGACCAGCCTGGGCTACAAAGTGAACTCAAGGCCAGCCTGAACTGCATAGTGAGACCCCATCTCAAAAAAGACAAAAAAAAACCACAAAAAACACTGGCTTTCACCACCGGTCTGAATGGAGGAGGAAGTGATGGGAATGACGAGACTTCCCACATCAGCTGGCCTCGGAGCTGTGTGCTGGGCCCAGGGATAGCTGGGACTTCGTTTAGCATCACAGGCCTGGATTCCGTGGAAAGCCCAGGAGGACTGTGCTGGGGCTGTGCTTTCCTCCAGCAAGTCTGTGCCCGGTGTGGGTTCCGGGCTCAGGGACCCCCTCTCACTGACTCACAAACAGTTGTGGCACCAGTGTGACCACCAGAACCTCATGCTTGTTTTCCTCCCTGCTCTGAGCTGCAAGAGCCCTGTGAAGCTGCTGGAAAAGTCCCTTGTCCCTTGTCATGTTGGGCGCAGGAAATCCTATGTCATAGCTTTGGCCTGGCACTGGCTGGCATCCGGCCCCACGGGCAGAAGTGTTAAGGTGGGGGACAGAGATGGCAGGGCAGCGCTCTTCCAGGTAGGGGCAGCCTGAGAAAGTGTCATTTGCTGTCCTACCATGGAATGTGTACTTGGGAACCACCGGGACCTCCCCCTCCAGAGATTTCCCCAGCCTGGCACAGTGGACATGTGGTGCTGTGACTCTCTCAGAAGGGAGCAGCTGAAGGTTTTAAAGAAGACACAAAGTAGTCAGAGGTCAGGCTGGCGTTCTGCAGACTGGGCCTGACTTTGTGTTCGGAAGCCCAGAAGCCTGGCTGCTCTGCGCAGGGCTGGAGTGGGCAGGAGCTGCGGGGCAGGGGATGACCAGAGCCCTGGGCCGAGCCAGGGTTTCTCCACAAAGCAGGTCCCTCTTGGGTGAGGGTACATTCATCCCTGATGTACCCTGCACACCGGAAACCAAGGGTTTAAGGGCGCTGTCAGGCTCGCTGATGTCCCTTGACTGGGATGGGAAGAAGAGATTTTAAAATGGGGTCCATGCAGAAAGAGTGCCGTGGTGACCAGAAGTGAGCGTGGTTAGACGGCTTTGCTCCTGGGTTGGGCTCCTGCCGGTCTTGTTATCAGAGCTGCCCCCCGCTGTCATTTCCCTGTGTGGACACTTGCCAACATCTGCCCAGTGACCGTCGTGAAGGAACTGCATAGTTCTCCATGTGTATTTATAACTTTTTTTTGGTACCGGGGATCAAACTCATGACCTCGCGCTTGCCAGAGGCAGGCACTTGTGCCACTGAGCTACATCCCCAGCCCTCCATGTGTATTTATAAATTTCTATTTTTGTAACTTTTGGAGGTCTTCTTAGAGGAAGGGAATATAACGTGTGATTTATGCTGGGCATGGTGTCGCTCGCCTATAATCCCAGCACTCAGGAGGCTGAGGCAGGTGGATCCTCATGAATTCCAGGCCAGCCTGGACTGCTTAGTGAGACCCTGTCTCAAAAAAAAAAAAAAAGAGGGGGCTGGGGATTTAGCTCAGTGGCGTAAGTGTCTGCCTTGCAAGCAGGCAATTGTGAGTTCCATCCCTGGTACCGATAAAAAAGGAAAAAGACAAAAAAAAAAAAAAAGATTTATGAAAGACCCATAATAGAAATTGATAACTTTGGAAACAAAGTTATAGTAAACACTTTAAGCAGAGCTGTTAAGCGTTAAACTTAATTTGTTTTTGTAACAGCATTTGTGTGAGGCTGTGCTCAAGCACAGGCACAGGAGTGTGTGGCCTTCCCAATGGGCAACGTGTTCTGGGCTCAGCTGGGCACAGGGAACCCTGTGTCTCCCTCGATCCACTGCAGTACAACATCCGGGCATTTCTATTACATCGCTCTTTTCCATTGTTTTCTTCCTAGAATAGTCTCCTTTCTTTGCTTTTTTTTTAGTGGGAGGATATTTTTGAGGCAGGGTTTCCCTTTGTAGTACTGGCCAGCCTTGGAAAGATCTTCCTGCCTCAGCCTCAAGAGTGCTGGGATTACAGGTGTTTACCACCATACCTGGCCTCTTTGCCTTTTCTTTTGGTGCAAGGATCAAATGAGAGGCCTGTGCATCTGAGCGGTGCTGTACCCACTGGAGTATACTTTGGTAGCATTTTTTGAGACAGGGTCCTGCTATGTAGGAAAAGAAACAATCAAACTGCTCCGTTGTGTGTCCTTTGGGCTGGGACCTGCACACTGATCTTGCCTCCCAGCCTCTGGATGGGAGGGATACTCCGGGTCATCCAGGTCACCCAGAACCCTGCGCTGTCCTGTCCCTGTCTGGAGCCACTTCACCCTGTGCTTGTGGCAGCTACTCTGTCCTGTTCCCCGGCCCCCCACCAGCCTCCTCATCCTCGAAGCCCTGATTGGCCGATTCTGCCCTCAGCAGTGGGATTTCCAGGTCCATCCCCCCCGCCCCCCGGGTTGGCTCGGCTGCCATGGTTTCTGCCTGCTCACTGTCTTGGGTCACTTGCTTTCCTTTACTCTTTTACTTGTTTTGTTTGTTTGTTTGTTTGTTTGTTTGTCTTTTTGATTTTTATCGGTACCAGGGATCAAACTCACGACTGCCTGCTTGCAAGGCAGGCGCTACCAGGGATCAAACTCACAACCTCATACTTGCCAGGCAGGCAGTTGTGCCACTGAGCTAAAGCCCCAGTCCAGAGTCACTTGCTTTCTATCCGCTCCACAAGTAAGGCCCGAGCTTCTATGTAAGCCCGGCACCCTGCCAGCCTAGGAGACTGTGCTGAAGGGGCCGGGTGTGGTCCCTGCCTTGGGGAACTCATTCTAAGGGGAAGATTTACAAAGAAAACAAAAACAAAACCAGACGGGGAGGCGGGATCACTTTGGTTCCTCAGCCAGATGACAGCCAACTGCGGCCTTCTGGAAAGTAAGTCCTTCCACCACCCTGGAGGATGTGGCCTCCTTGGGGGGGGCCAGGCCCACAGCCATGTCCCCTGAAGTCCACCTCCCAGAGCACCCATGGGGCAGGCATGGCCTCACTCTCAGCTGTCCTCAGGCTTCACCGAATGCCTTGGAACTGAGCCTGTCACAGGGAGCCTGCGTCTCTCCCAAGCTCTTAGCTGTACCCAGGGGCCAGTCCTGGGGCCTCTCCCGGACAGGACCCACGGACCGTGTCATACTTAATCCAACCCCACACACCTGACTCAGTCCTCCCTCTGTCTGTCCCTAAAACATAAACTTTGCATGATCTTTGAGGCATAAGAGTTTTGCTGTGTAAGGTCACTATGTAGCCCAGGCTGGCATCACACTCATGTCGATCTTCTGAGTGCTGGAATTTCAGAGTGAGAACATACATCTACGTAGCACTTGCCATGTGCTGTGGAGGGCCCCTGGACAACTCACTAAACACAGAGCAAGCATCTCCACTGGCTAAACCTGGCCCTGTCTCCATGTACTGATGGGTACAGAGCTGGCCTTCTCCCTTCAGTGGGCTGCAGGCAACATAAACAGGCCTGGCTGAGGTTGGTGACGGTCACTGTTTCCTGCCCCGGTGTCTCCCTAAACATGGTTGGTGGAAGGGACAGATGAAGAGCCAGGGCTTCAGGGATCAACCTCGAGCTAAGAGGCTGTGACTTCCCAGGGCAGAGAAACTTTGCCCATCAGAAGGGCTGCTGTGGCTATGTATGTACACGCTTTTCTCACGGATGGCAGAGGGGCTTTCAGGCCTCCCACCCAGCCCGGCTCACAGCGCTCACACACTTCCTGCCATTCTCATGGCCGCTCATCCTCAAGCCCCTCCCTTCTCCATGGATTAATAAGATCTGGGCCTTCGTTCCCGTGAACCGCTGTCTTGCTGGACCTAGGACCCCTTGGCTCCCCATAACTATAAATATATCTTAGTGTCTCTGTTCTCGTCATGGGTTGCACAGGAAGTGGTAGATTGGAATTAACTTATTGGGATTCCAATAACTTTCTCCTGGGATTACAAATATAAATCTCCTGGATCCGAACAAGTTTGGGGAAGACCACTCGATAATGTGTCAGGTATTATTTTAAACCTTTATGTCAACTCTCATAATAAGTAGACACTGTACCAAGAGCTCAGACGACACAGAAGGATAAACAGCAGTAACTTGGACCCCCCTCCCACCCTGTTTCTTTAGTCACCCCTCCCTACCCGAGACAGCTCTTCCTGGTCCCCTGGGCACCCTTCAGAGCTGTCGCCAAGCACAGGTGAGTGGTCCTGTTCACTGTCCTCACACAGGTTGTGGCCTGGAAACGCCACTGCCCATGTCTGTGCGTGAGCCCCGGGCTGGTGGTAGAGCCCAGTGAGCCCTCCCCACTGAGCTGTACTGAGCCTCCCCTGTTTTGGGGACCCTCTCTTCCTGCTCTCTCTGTTCCCTCCCCCAAGACTCCGACACTTATCCCCACCTGGCCCCAGTGCGGAGTCCCATGACAATGAGAGGAGACAGCTGGGGATTGATCGGCTGCCTCGGAGCCTGGTGGCTGCAGCCAGGCCCCGGCTGCCACCCTGTGAGCTACAAGTCACTAGATTGCGGGGAGTCAGAGCCACACCATGCAGCGAGTTTGTGATGTCTCCACAGTGTCACTGAGTAGTGTGGCAATAGAGACCTGTCACACTCGCAGTTGGTGATAATCTTACTCAAAGAGGGTCTGCTTCCTTCCCCAGAGATGCAGTCACCTGCAGCGACAGCCAGGGAGCAGGAGGTGTGCAGGGACCCAGGGCCACCCTCTGCCCTGTCTCACACAACTGTCTAGGCAGAAGGGCTATCCCTGGGCCTTGCTTCAGGCCAAGGCTCTGTCCTCTGGGAGCTCCAACCCCAGGTCAGGACCCCAGGCCCTCTCTGAGGGGCCCAAGGCCACCACACAGGGGCCACACCCCAGGGCCCCTCCTCCTCCTGCCACCTGCAGCCCAGCCTGCCCCAGGCCCAGCAGGCATCTCTCAGCCCCATCCCTCTGTCTCTTCCTGCAGCCATCTATCTCCACACTCTGCAGCTTCCTCCTCGACACAGTGGTCAGAAGCTGTCAAAGCTGGGCACGGTGCACACCTGTAATCCCACCCCTCAAGAGGCTGAGGCAGGATGGGGCTGGGGATTTAGCTCAGCAGCATAAGCACCTGCCTTGAAAGCAGGCAGTCGTGAGTTCGATCCCTGGTACCGATAAAAACGAAAAAAAGCCAAAAAAAAAAAAAAAAAAAAAAAAAAGAGGCTGAGGCAGGAAGATGGCTGTGAGTTTGAGGCCAACCTGGACTACAGAGTGAGCTCAGCTTCTGGGGCTGCCAGCAGCTGTGTGACCTTCTCATGAGGCACCCTTGAATAAGACATCCCCCCTAGGTGTGCCAACCAATGTCCCCAGATGTTGCCAGCTGTCCCCCTGGGAGTGGGGTTGGCCGGATGAGAAGCACTGAGTGGGACTGCAGTGACTTTTCCCCTCCAGCCGGAACGCCTGTCACCGGTTCCCCTCTCCAGTCCAGGAACGTTCTGGAAGGTGGCATCCAGCGCACCACAGAGCCTGAGGCTGACCACCTGCTAGGAGGTCCAGGCTGCTCTGTGATGTGGGGGGAGGTCCCCAGCCTCCTGGGACTGTGGGTGTCACAGAGACTAATCGCAGAATGAACGGGGGACACTGGAGACACCCGGGCCCCGCCTGAGTGGGCATCTGTGGGAAAAAGGAGGGCCCGAGAGCAGGGCCCCGAGACGCCACCCTGCCAGGTTCTGAGTGAGCAGGCGGCCCTCAGGGAGGATTGGCTGCCACAACCTCCGCAAGGCGGCTACTGAGCAGGACGGGCCCACGGAAGGGCTTGGCTGAGCGCCATCAGGTGCCCTGTCCCAGGCACGGGTGTGTGTGTGTGTGTATGTGTGTGACAGCCCCGGCCTGGCCAGGAGGGGTCGCAGCTACCAAGCAAGTGCTCAGGGCGTTGGTGTGGGGCAGACTTTAAAGGCAGCAGAGCAGGCTCAGGAGTCCCTCCCAGATTTACAGTGGCCCTGCAGCCATTTCCACGGTATCCCAGGCTTGTTGTCTCTTCTGTCCTTCTCAGAGCAGGAATCCAAGAGGCCTGCACACCACCCCCAGTCTGGGGGCATAGGCTTTAGTTTAGAGAAAACAACTCCCACGTTAACTTTTTTTTTAAAAAAAAAGAAAAACAAATAGCACAAATTTGACACCACTGCCCTAGAGCCCTGTCTAAGCACCAGACATCTGGGTGTGGTGGGGCACACTGTAATCCCAGTACTCAGGAGGCTGCAGTAGGAGGATTCTCCCAAGTTCAAGGCCAGCCTGAACTGCATAGCAAGAGATCCTCTCTCGAAAAATAATAAAAGTGTTAGGGATGTAGCTCAGCGAGAAGGCCCCAGGTTCAATTCCCCGTATCACAAAAACAACAGGAAAAACAAAAACCTCTGATGCCCTCGCCTGGTACCATCTATTCCTACCTCTTAGGTCTCCATCGGAGGGCACTGGATTCTGGTCCCCCAGGCAGGAGTCCGACGTCCAGGCACCCTGATGCCTTTGTGATGAAACCTTAGGAACCTACCCTTAAAACTGTGCTTTTAGGGGCTGGGGATTTAGCTCAATGGCATAAGCGCCTGCCTTGCAAGCAGGCAGTCGTGAGTTCGATCTCTGGTACCAATAAAAATGAAAAAAACAAAAACAAAAAAAAACCCAAAAAACAAAAAACTGTGCTTTTAGCTGGGGACTTAGCTCAATGGCACAGCACCTGCCTGGTAACTGCGAGGTTGAGAGTTAGATTCTTAGTACCAAAAACAAAAAACTGCTTTCATGCCACCTACAAATTCAGCAGTAGATGAGGTGACACACATATGGAAACTGCAGGGTAGGGACTGGGGATTTAGCTCAGCGACAGAAGCGCCTGCCCTGCAAGCCTGTGGTCATGAGTTCCATGCCTGGTACCGATAAAAATATATATATAAAAAAAAGAAACTGCAGGGTCAGATGTTCACAGGTCACTGGGAGACAGACCTGTACAGCTCCTGAAGTGTGCTTGACAATAATTAAGCACTAACATGCATTAGCCAGGGATGGTGGCAAACGCTGCAACTGAAGCTTCCCAGGAGGCTGAGGCAGGAGGATCGCAAATTCCAGGCTATGCTGGGGAAATTACTTAAGAACCAATCACAAAATAAAAAGCAGCTGGCAATGCAGTTCAGAATTAAAAAGTTTGCTCGTTATGGCTGTGTAAACCTGTAATTCCAGCACTGGAGAGGCTAAGACAAGAGGATCACTGTGAGTTCAAGGCCAGCCTGAGCTACATAATCACTTTAAGGCCAACCTGAACTACATAGCAAGTCCCTGTCTTTAAAAAAAAAAAAAAAAAAATCCTGTAATCCCAGCACTTGGGAGACTGAGAGACAAGAGAATCATTTGCAAGACAGCCTGGGCTACAAAGTGAGCCCAAGGCCAGCCTGAACTATATCATGAGACCCTGTCTTGTTGCCTTTTTTTTTTTTTTTATCAGTACCAGGGATCGAACTCAGAACATGCTTGCAAGGCAGGCACTTATGCCACTGAGCTAAATCCCCAGCCCAAGACCCTGTCTTAAAAAGACTAAAAAAAAAAAAAAAAAAGTTTTGTTTAGTGTGTGTAAGGTCTGGGTTTAATTTCCAGTACCATCACCACCAAAACAAAGTACTAACAGGCATTCAGTCGACAAACATGTTGAGTATCTGCTTGGGCCAGGAACAGCTCTAAGCATTAGAGGAGGGGGACAAGGAGCCCCTGAGTTGTGATGCATATAAATTGCTGTGGAGACAGCAGTGTCACATCAGTGCATGGGGCACAGCAGGAGCCTCTCACAGGCGCTGTGGGTCCATCAGGCAAGGGATTCTGCTGCTGAGCACAGGTCAGAGGTGTGACGGGACTGGGAGAGCCGGGAGCCAGACAGCCAGGTGGGCGCTCAGGGATTCCCTGGCTGCACAGGAAGACGGGAGGGAAGGGCCCCAACCTGAGCCTAGGGCTGAGCTACACCCTGGCCCTTTCTTTCTGTGAGGCTAGGTCTCCTAAATGGCTGAAGTTTCAAGCAGCGAGAAGGGCCAGTCAGCAGTGCCAAACCGGAAGCCCACAGGACCGAGATTGCCTGTGGGATTGATCTCAGGCAGACTAGGTGTTCTTGGAGGACAGGCGCACCATGGACCACCCCAGGCAGGTCTGCAGCCCCAGACATCCTTGGGCCCCAGGGGGAAGCCAGGTAGGCTGGACACCGCCCCGGTGGTCACGTCCCTCATGACTAATGATGGGACGTGGAGATGAAAGAGTAGAGGGTGGGGCCAGCAGGTCAGGGCCAGCCTGACAGCACAGCTCTGCAGTCACCCTGCCCTGCGGCTGCACCTGGCAGGGAGCCCAGGGCCGGCCTTCAGTGGGGACACTCCGGGAGCGACCAACGGGCCCTTTCCATGTGGCTGTCTGGGTGCAGCTTTGGGCTGGGCCAGGTCCAGCCAGAGGGTGGGGGTTCTGGCCTGTGGGGTTGGGCCCACCCGGGAGGCTGCAGAAACCAGGGTGCAGCCAGGTGTGGTAGTGCCACCCAGGAATTCCCAGGCGGCCCAGCAGTCTCCACCGTCCCTGCCCTGAAGTCTGGGCCGTCCAACCGGGACGGGGCAAATGCGTGCAGGGCAGCGTAGGATCAGTGGACTCTTCTGAACCTCAGCGCCCTCCTGGGGCTTACACCCTTCTTCCCCAACGACACGGACTCGGTGCTGAGATCACAGGCAGCACCAGCTTCACTTGTGATGCTGCCATCCCATCTTTTTATTCTCTCCTCCACTATTGCTGAGACAGGAGCCAGGTCTGTGCCATGGCCAGTGTCCGGTGCCCAGCAGCCACCGAATCCTCGTCAGGAGTGTGCCACCGTCGTCTCCCATCCTCACAGCCTTCGGAGGTGAACTTGGCTGTCGGGTCCGGAAGAAACGAGGCTTCCCACAGTCCAAGAGCCTCGCTGAAGGACACGGTTGTTATACCCACCCTTTGGCTCTCCTTATTTGGAGAACAGGGAAACCTGGGGTGAGAGACAGCACAACTGACTGCATCTCCCACACCCAGGAGCTCTGATCAGCACTCAGCCGCAGAGCGGGAGGCCAGTCTCAACTGGCTCATGTTTCCCAAGTGAGAGCAAGCCTCCCCGCGCCCACCCCAGGGCGACCTGGAGTTGGGCGGCCACACCTCTCTCCTCAAGTCCCAACAGAGCAGATGAATTAGTGAACTCTTTTATGAAATGCAGGCATATTCTACAGCAAGGGCCAGCACTGGGTCGAGCTGCCTGCTGTCCTCTCCCTGGCTGGCCGGAGCCACTCAGGCGCTTTCTCCCCAGAAGTGGCTCATCTACTGTCTGTCTCTGCAGCCCACGACCTTGGCTAAAGCACCCACGTCTTGCTCCAAGGGAAGCTGCTGCCTGGCTGCCCCTGTGACAGGCCACTCCTCGCCCTTCCTCCTGATCCCTGGTCCCCAACCTGGAGATGACACTGGGAGCAAACATGATTGTTCCTGATGTCAGGCCAAGCTGGACTTCATAAGTGGTTCTAATTCACTGGAAAACAGGCATCAGCCTGGGCTTTCAGGGCAAAGGACAAGTGTTCACCACACAGATAGGTCACCTTTGCTCTGAACGGGCCAGTCCTGCCACTCGTGACTTCCCGAAATGCCTTCCCTGCCAGCAGCGACCTCTCTGCCTATCTTCTGAGGCTGGCCAGCATCGTGGCCTGCACAAGTAACACTGGGGCCTGGAAGGAAGGTTACTCAGGCTTCGGTGGTCAGGCCCCAGCCCTCCTGGCTCCTTGGGCCCAATCCCAAGTGCTGCTCGGGTCTAAACAGCAAAGCAGCCTTCATGCTCAGTCTCCTGTCTGTGCACACCAAGTCTCCTACCCTGGGCCTCCATGGAGCTAGAGGTTGGGAATTGATCCCTGTCATGCCCGGCACCCCATTGTTCAGTAGGCCAGCTCCAAGAACTGTTCTCAGTGACTCTGACTCACTATAGCAAACAGTACCAGAGTGGAAGCTCAGGGCCAGCAGGACTTGTCCTCTCCTCCCTCTGCACCCTCCCCACCCCTATCTGCAGGATCCACAGCTGCACCCACACCGAGCTTTGAGAAGCGCAGCCCTCCAGCTGCCTTGTCGTCCTGTCGTCTGACTGTCTTCAGAATGAAGACTTGTCTGTGTCTGGATCAGGCTGTCTGACACCTGCTTGGACCCTCCCACCCCCCAACAGCGACAGATTCCCAGGCCCAACCCCTCAGAGTGGAGCCCAGAGCCAAAGGCTCAGGACATGGCTTTCCGGTGGGCGCAGGGGTAGGCATAGGAGATGGGATGGCGCGTCCCAGGCCTCACGGTGAACGTGTTGACGTGCGACCTGGAGGGAGGGGAGAGAGCTGTGAGGTTCATGTGCTGCCATGTGCCCCAGGGCACCAGCCCAGGTGCCCTCCTGTCCCTCTGGACTTAGAGGCCGATGGCCTGAAGCATTGCCTCCCCAGTCCTCCCACCCTGCCCCTGCCAGCCTAGCCCCAGCTTACCTGCCTGTGGCGGGTGCCAGGGGGTGCTCTCCTGCTGTGTCCCCAGGTACTCTGTACTTGGCATCACTGGTGCCACGTGCCACAGTGCCCTCCAGAGACACCCGCGGCCGGCCGTGGATTGCAGCAGGGTGTGGGCACCCGCCCGAGGGGATGCGGCGTGGTGCTGGGCCGTTGGGGGTGCCCTGGATGCGGCCAGGCCCAGGGGCACGGGGTGCCTCACCCACATACAACCGCTTCTTGATGAGTGAGCGGCCCCCAGGCGAGCTGCGCTCTGGGACACGGGGGAAGGCCAGAGCGCGTGGGAAGGCCAGAGCCGGCGGGTGCCCCGGGTCTCTGGGCGGTGAGGGAACGGGGTCGTTGCTGAACTCAGGAGGCGGTGGAATGACCTCGAAAGTGAACTCCTCCTCGCTCTCATCCTGCCTCCTGCAGAAAGGGGAAGGCGGGGATGACAGAGACCGGGGAAACAAGGGGTCCTGCGGGAGGCTGGAGGGGACAGGTCTGTCCCAGGTCTCCCGGGAGGCACGGGGCTGCATGGCTGTCCACCGAGGCGGTGAGGTTGGCTCTGTGCTCTCCGGGGGCTTTGGCTCACTGGGCACCTCAGGCCGTGCTGACGTGGGCAACAGGATGGCCTTCTCCGCCACCCTCGGCGACTTGGGGACCACTGTGAACGAGTGGGGCTTGCAGTCTGTGTAGAAGATGCTGTCTGACCTGGGCTCTGGTGGGCCAATGTGTCCTCGAAGGCTCCCGGGCAAGGAGGATCGACCCTGGGCCAGCCCGCCAGGCCGCCCCTTCTGGGCCCTCTGCCTGGCTGCCAGGAGCAGGGCCATTGGGGACCCACGCTCCACCACCTCCCCAGTCACCGGGTGCCGAAGCAGCTGGTCAGCAGGTCGGAGTGGGCCTTGGGATGCGGCTGGCCGGTCCTGAGGTTCCCTCAACTCTGCAGGCCCTGCTGGACCTGTGACCGTTCCTCCGGCCGGCGTGGGCATCTCTGTGGCAACCTCGCGGCTGGGGCTGCTCTGGTGGCTGTGGGGCTTGTAGAGGAGTGGCACTTCTTCCTGACCTGGGGACATCTTGGGTGCTGGTGGCCCGGTGGTGACCAATACTGTAGGCTGGTCTGCCCCTGGCTGGGAGGGCGCTTCACCTTCCTGAGGTTCTGGCTGTGCCCGCTGCCCACCTCGCTCAGCTGGGCCTGGCTCTTTCTCTGCTGTCAGGCGGGATGTTATGGTGGGCTTCGAAGTGCTCGTGCATGACATGGCTGACCCAGGGGTCCCCTTGGGGGCAGTGGCTGGCCCAGGGGTGGCCGTGGACTGCAGTGGTGTGGCCCGCTGAGGGGTGGTAGACAGAGGTAGTGGCTCCTTGGCCACAGGCCTGGGGAATTTGCCATGATCGGTCCCATTGGTCAAGCTGCGCCCCACTTCCAGCCGAGGTTTGGGAGGCAGAGAGCCCACACCCAGCTTGGTGTCCTTCTCTGCAGATGCAGACAGCCGAGCCTCCAGCTCCTTCCGGATCTGTTGGACGCTGGGCATGGGGGTGTCCTGAGGGTCATAGTCTACTGGGGGCAGAGGCAGGCTGAGACCCTTGTCAGGGCCACCCAGGAGTGTCTTGTCAGGCAGGCTCCGGGAGGTCGCCTCTGCTGGGGCACTTGGGTCCTTCTTGGCCTCCTTGTCCTGAGTGACCCCCGCAGGGCCTGGCCTGGGACCGAGGGCTCTGTCCTCCCTCTTGGGCCCGCAGAGATAGGCAGCCAGCTGGCTCCGCAGCTGCTCCAGCTGCCCGGGATCGCGCCAGTCTTTGGGCTCTGAGGAGGCCACAGGCTCTGGAGTTGGGAGTTTAGGTTTGGATTTGGGGGTGGGTTTGAGAGGTGGGAAGCTAGATTTGGGGTGCTTTGGCAGTCCGGTGGCTGGAGGGACTGCCTGCTCAGCAGAAGGCAGTGGAGGGGGAAGCGGGGGTGCAGGTGGGGGGAGTGCAGGAGGGGATGGGGGAGGGGCAGGGGGCGGAGGCCCAGGTGGTTCATTTGTGGGGGACTCCGCCTGCCTGAGGCTTGGGCTGGGTGGAGCCCTGGGCTGGGACTCCCTAGAATGGTCTGGCTCAGGGTCTCTGTCAGAGTACACCTGGGATGCAGGGCAGATATGGAAGCTGGGGGGCAGTGGGAGGCGGCTGGGGGCCTTCTTGATGGCTCCCTCTTCCTCTGGGGGAGCCCACTGGGCTTCCAGAGCTGGGATAGATGAAGTCCGCACTGGGGCCGGGGGAGGCACCTTGGATGAACGGGGGACAGTGAGGTGGGTCTCAGGGTGCTGTCTCTTCGGCTCGGCAGGGCTCCTGGGGGGGCTGGTTCTGGGGGTCTCAGGCTGTCTGCCATTCAAGGCCACCTCTGATGTCCACTTGGTGACCCCCCCAGAGGGGAAGAGGTTAGTCTCCTGTGTCTGTGTTTGAGGAGACGCGGGGACTGGGGGGGGTGGGGCTGGCACAGAGGGTGGTGGTGGGGTCAGAGTCACTGAGGGAGGTGCGGGAGGGATGAAGTCGGGCAAGCTGGGTGTGGACGGTGGGGAGAGGGTGTCCAGGCCAGGGGGTGGCGGGGGTGCCATGGTGGGTGGTGGTGGTGGCAGAGGTTCCACCAGCAGCGGGGGAGGTGGGGGAGCTGTGGAAGGGGGTGGTGGTGGCGAGGACTCCTCTGCAGGCTGTGGCAAGTCCTGGGGTGGCCTTGGGGCCGGGCCTGGGGGAGGAGGGGGGATGAGAGTGTCCTGGCCATAGGGCTCGGGCCTCAGGTCCCCCACAGAGCTGTAGAGCCGAAGGCTGCCATTGACCAGCGAGCTGCCACCTGAAAGAAGAGAGAGAGGCAGTAATGGGAGGGGAGGCAGCACCATCCCTGTCAGCAGCTCACATGGGTCCCCTCCCTCGGCCTGGGGCCTAGCAGAGCGAGGATCTGAGGAAGGGCTGCTGCTGACAGCCACAGGGAACCCAGACTGTTGGATGCTGAGTTAGGAGCTGGGATATAGCAGTACACAAAGCACCAGCTGGGCACGGCGGTATACACCTTTGACCCAGCACTCAGGAAGCTGAGGCAGGACGATCCCCTTGAGTTGGAGGCCAGGTTGGGCTACACAGTGAGACTGTGTCAAAAACAAACAAAATGGAAACAAAACAAAACAAAAAGACAGTAACAAAGCACCAGACAAGATGAAATGCTGGCACTCTCTCAAGTGGATGCCTTCAGGGGACGATGAGACGCAGACCCGTTAGAAATGATCACCACGAGGGTGTGTGCTGCAGGAAGACCGACAGGACAGACGGGAGCCAGAGCATTCGGGGATCCCTGACAGGGACACAGGGAGGGAGGGAGGGAATGACAAGGTGTCCAGCGGAGCCTTCTGGGCAGAGGTAGCAGGCCAACTCCTGGAGCACCTTAAGGGTGCTGAGGGACAGGGTCAGACCCTGGGGCCCTCACAAGGCCTTTCCTGTGAGTGACACGGGAAGTTCCCAGCCAGTCCTGAGCAGCTGTGTGACTTACATTCCCTCCAATATTCACTGATGCCCCAAAAGGAAACAGAGCCGTGAGGGTTTGGGGGACTTGCCCAGGAAAGCAGAGCCCAGGTGGGGGGCGCTGGGCTCAAAGCCAGGATTGTCTAGTGACACTGGTTCTGTCACTGAACTTTTTTTTTTTTTGGTCTTTTTCGTTTTTATCGGTACCAGGGATCGAACTCACAATTGCCTGCTTGCAAGGCAGGCGCTTATGCCGCTGAGCTAAATCCCCAGCCCCTTGTCACTGAACTTTTAAAAAACATTTTTCACTTTTTATTTTGAGACAGATTCTGTATCACTAAGTTGCCTAGGCTAGGCTTACATTAGGGATCCTCCTGCCTCAGCCTCCCAGAGCGCATGCTGGGGTTACAGGTATACATCACCACGCGCAACTCCATGCTTGGCTTTTGAATTCGGAGCCAAAGGAGGAAAGAAAGATGGGACGAGCCCCAGCCCCAGAGTCCTCTTACCTGTCACATATTTACCTGCAAAGTCTTCAGGGACAGAGGGTGTGGGCACAGCCAGTCCATGGTTCTCCTGGGCATTCTGAAAGGGACCAGAGAGAGAACAGGGACAAGGAGAGGACAGATAATTAATTTCTAAGTCACTGCATTGGGGCCACCAATGCCTGAAGCTCACAGGGTGTCGCGGGTGTAATCTCGGTCTCAAGCTCACTGAAACCAGAACAGGTGGCTTGGAGAAGGTGGATATGGGGCACGGTGGACTTCGTCCCTCCTGGTGGCCCTGCTCTGCAGGCTGCAGCCAGTGTGGGGCCCCTGCCCTTCAGAGGGACACAGGGCAGCGCTCCCAGTGCATAACCGGGTCTCGTGCTTGTGTTTAAAGACAGACACGGCGTCCTGCTTGACCCCACTGAGGACACGTCCACCCCATCCACTAGGCCAGCCTGCGGGCACGGGGTCTGCAAGCGGCGAAGGACCCTACCTCAACTAAGCGTGCACACAGAGGCACCCACCATCGTGAAAGGTGCCAGCCCCTCAGCACCTCCTCCCCCTGCCAGTTTTCATTAGGTTTTCACAGAACAGATGATGAAATCCAGCTGGGCCGGGTGCCACCCCTGCCACAGAGCCCCTGGCTCTCTAACGGCAGTGCCCGGCCCACACACTTTGCATCCCACTGCTCCCCAGATGGACGTCTCCATGCCACTGAGGTCCGCACACCTGGCCCTGTGGGGAGTGGCAGTGCCTTTCCTGGCTCTCGATGACCAGACCTCCGGTCCCAGCCAGCGCGTCTCCCTCGGACACCTGTCACATCCACCTTGCGCTCCAGCCTGGCCTCTCCCTTGGTGTAGCACTGGATTCTGCAAGCACCAGACCCATTTCTGGTTCCTGGCTTCTGACCTACATCCCCAGCCCTTCTTAAACGTCCCTGTCCTTATTTTAGTTCATTTTGTTTTGGTGAGGTTTGGTGCGACTGGGTCTCCCTGGGTAGCTCAGACATCCTCCCGCCTCAGCCTCCTGAGTGTTGGGATTACAGATGCACACCTCCTTGCTCAACCCTTTCCTTTCTTTTGTCTTTTTCCTTTTTATCGGTACCAGGGATTGAACTCACGACTGCCTGCTTGGCAAGGCAGGTGCTTATGCTGCTGAGCTAAATCCCCAGCCCCCTCCCTTTCCTTTCTTAAACAACCCTGGAGCCTGGATGGCCTCGCTCCATCACCTCATCCTTCTGTGCCTCTGCTTGTCCCACCCAGGAGCAGAGCACAGGGCCTGTGCCATCCAAAACCCCAATGCCACAGGCATGCAGGTCACCACTGAGTGACCCTCACGGGGCCTTGTGTCCTGGTTCTGACCTGAAGCAAACTGGGCCTTCAGGATCCGGATGGGGATGGTGACGTCAGAAACAGTCATGTGTGTGCCATGTGCCAGCACAACCCAACAGCTTGACCGATGTCGCCTCATCTCTCCTGTGTGCCCCTCACCAGTTGCCCACCCCCCTTGTGAAAACAGAACAGGGCATGGTGATCCCAGCGCTTGAAAGGCTGAGGCAGGAGGATCACTTTGAGTTCAAGGCCAGCCTGGGCTACATAGCAAGACCCTGTCTCGAAAAACCAAAACATAAGAATAGAGACGCAATTAGGGACAAACAACCTAACATCTCCAGCCCAGGAGCAGGGTCAGTCCATCAATTTTTTTTTTAAATATATTTGAGACAGGTTCTCGCTACGCAATTCAAGCTGGCCTTGAGCTACTTGGTAGCCCAGGCTGGCCTGGAACTCGGTGCGATCCTCCTGCCTCAGCCTCCACACCCAGCTCATCAACTCTTTGTACTCTGTCCCCTAGAAGGTTGAGATCCTAGCATCAAAGCTAGGATCCTGAACCCTAAAAGGCCCTCCCTGGCTCCCGGCAGTAATTATGTGCCCAGGAAGGTGTGGGAGGAGCTCACAGCCCATGCAGACTTTCCTCTCTTTTGATTTTGTTTTCCTTGCTTGTTTCTGCAGAGCTGAGGGTTGAACCCAGCCTGCTCTCCCGCCGAGTTACAATCCTCATCCCCGCCTTTTACATCTTGAGATAGGGCCTCAACACACTGCCCAGGCTGGCTTCCAACTCAAGATCCTCCTGCCTCAGCTTTCTGAGCAGCTGGGATTGTACCACCTCCCCTAGCCTTGACTGATGGTTTTGTTTTTATTCATGGTGTGCTGGGGATGGGGCCCAGGACCTTGCACGTGCTTGATCTTAAAGCACTCTGCAAACACAGGACGGAAGTCTGGCTCTAAGTGGCTGTCATCAGCGCAGGCAGAGCTCTGGCATTTTAGGTGACTCAACCCACAAGAGGGGCCCCAGGCCATACCCAGCATCGCACTCAGAACCTCTGGGAAGCTCTGTGGCCCCTAGCAGCCCCTTCTGTGGGGAACGGGAGGCAAACACCAAGGCCTTTAAGCCTTCCTCTCAGAAAAACTTTGGGAAGCAGGTGGCATCCAGTGGGCCAGCCTGGGAGCGACACAGTAGATGTGACAGTGGTATCCACAGGTGCCGAAATTCCTGCCCTTCGCCTTTAGCTCCAAGAACCCAAGAGAAACCTCATTAAGAGGCCTTGGCCAGCGAGTTCAAGGCCAGCCTCCGCTCCACAGCTCTGTGTTAAAAACAGCAATTTAAAAAAGAAAAACAGCACTAAATAACACTAAACTAAGAGGAGGATTTTCCCAGGTGTGGTGGCACATGCCTGTGACCCCAGCACTCAAGAGGCCGAGGCAGGAGGACCACTGTTATATGGATGTCAGCCTAACTAAATGGGGAAAAACCAAAAACGGTAAAGAGGGCTCTGTGGGGTACGGGTGTACCAGGAAGGGCATTCCTGCGGCAACTGGCAATAATGAACATAAACAGTACCTCAGGTAACCACGCTGTTGTATCAACACTAACTTCCAGAATGTTCCAGATCTCCAATCCTACAGAATGGAAATAGCCCCTAAACTATGGGGAATGAAGGGACACAGTGTCTCAACTTGCTCTTCAACAGCTCAGAAAGAAACAAAATGTAGGGGCTGGAGATTTAGCTCAGCGGCATAAGCACCTGCCTTGCAAGCAGGCGGTCGTGAGTTCCATTCCCGGTACCAGGAAAAAAAAAAAGAAACAAAATGTATATACACACACACACACAAAGAGAAGGAAGAAAGAAAAAATTTAACAAAATGTGGTCATAATCCCCCCAGGCTCCTAGGGGATTCCGGAAGAAAGAAAAAATTTAACAAAATGTGGTCATAATCCCCCCAGGCTCCTAGGGGATTCCTTGTAACTCTGCTGCAAGGTTTCTGCATACTAGGGTTTGTCAGAAAGGAAGTTACACACTTAATGCCATTTTAAAATGCTTCAAATGATACATTTGATGGATGTGGTGACCCATGCCTTAGGAGGCTGAGGTAGGAGGATCTCCATGGGTTCAAGGTCAGCCTGGGCTGCACAGTGAGCTCAAGGTCAGACTGAACTACATAATAACTGAATTTCCCTGTCTAAAAAAAAAAAAAAGATAAATTTTACATGTTTTATAGTTTTTTAAAAACTGGGGTGGGGCTGTAGCTGAATGGTAGAGCACTTGCCTAGTATGTGTAAGGCCCTGAACTCAGCCCCCAGCACTCTAAGATGCTGAGGCAGGAAGATCCTAAGTCTGAACCCAACCTGAGCAGCTTAGCAACTTAGAGATGCTGCCCAAAATGAAACAAAGGGCTGGGGATGTAGCTCAGTGCAAAAGCCCTGGGTTCAATCCCCAGGGCAGAAAAGCAAAAATAAAAAAGTAAAAAGTTAAGAACATCCACAGGAAAACTGTGAGGCACTCAGGCAGGTGTGGCCTCTGAGGGTGGCGGCCACGTCAAGAGCAGGTGGACCCTAATCAGGACAGCAGAGCACAGGGCAGGGGATGAGCACTGAGTGGCCACTGTCAGGGCCGCTTCGCCCTCTGTGCTGGCCCAGGGGACAGAGCCTGGCGACACTGGGCCTCAGCACTTCCTGGTCCCCACACCCAGAAGATGCCCAGAGCTAAGGTGGCCACACGGGGTTCACATGCAAATCTCCCACGGCGGACATAAGCTCAATCTCTGTCTGGTCCTCAACACTGAAGAATTCCACTCATCATCTAAAGAAAAACCACCCAGTGCAGTTATAATTTTTTAAAATTTTGGGTGGCTGAATGGGAAGACGTGCATTTCAGAGTTAGTCGCTGGCCTTGTTCTCCAGGGGTGCTCTGTCCGTGTCTGCCTGGCTGGCCTGAGCAGATGGGCGTCTCCAGGGCCTCTGCATCAGTAAGGTTTTCAGGCTGAGAGGAGGGTGGGGCAAAGCACTGGCCTGTGGGGGAGGGGCTCATCTTCCTGGTGTAATGGATGGGGGTGGAGCCTGCTGTTCATCCCACTGGGAGCTGGGGGCGGGGTCACACCCCCATGGTCCCTGCATACCCTGCTGGCCTCCTCACACACACATCCTCATGCCTGCGATTCCTTGGAGCCCAGCCAAGCCGAGAAGGGCCGGAGCAGTTGGGCGCTGAGATAGCTGCACATCACAGAATACAGACCTCCCTCCCATCGGGGCCAGAGCCAGGCTGTAGTCTGGGGAGGGGCCTTCAATTCCCCTACCTCCCCACCCCGAACCCCAGGTCTTCAGCTGGTGCAGCCTACAGAGAAGGGCTGTGCTCCCCAGGGAGCTCCTAGGAAGTGTTTTTTAATTAAAGAACCCCAGGGCCCCCAAGCCTCCCTGGTTCTTCAGCCGCATTGGATCCTCGCAAGGTGCCATGCTTCTGCCATGCAGAGGGACCCTCAGACCCAGGCTCCTGGGACCCCTGCTAGGTCCTGTGCTGTGGGGCCCAGCCATGCCCTTCTCCAGTGCAGGAGCCAGAAGGATCAAGGGAGATGACCTTGGAGACCCGCCCCTTCTAGCCTGGACTCCAGAAGTCCCTGTTCAAACCCTCCAGACCCTTTTGGGGCTCCCTCCCTGGTCCTCACCTCAGAGCTCCCTGGGGTCCTCGCTTGAGCCCCAGGGTGGCCAAGGGGCAGCTGTTTGTAGGCTAGGACAGGGGTGCAGATGGCCTGGGAGGCTCAGACTGAAGCCTCACTGTAAGGGGCCAGGCAAAGGGGCTGGGGCCCGATGCATGCTCTTAGGCAGGCCTCTGGACTGCTGTAACCCACAACCCCTCCTCCAACACCAACCACCCAGATCAGCCAAAAGCCTACAGACACAGTCTCATAGCCGGGCACACACCTCTGATTTCAGCACTCGGGAGGCTGAGGCAGGAGGATTGCCAAGTTTGATGCCACCCTGGGCTACACAGTAAATTCAAGGTTGTTCTGAGCTACACAGTGAGACACTGTCTCAAAAAAAAAAAAAAGGAATAAAATAAAATCACGTCCTTGCCTGGTTCACCCGGAAGGATGGGAGGAGGAAGGGAGGTGCTGACTTAAACTTGTGCTCTAACTCCTTGGCAGTGGGGGGGGGGGAGGGAGACTCCCTGGGCAGAGCCAGAGCCAGGCTCAGCTGACTCAGAGGGTGGGGTGACCCAGGGAACTCTCATGGCCCCGGGCACCCTGGGGACCCGTCTAGCCAGTTTCCCTATCTGCCACATGGGTATTTAGCTTGCAACTCCTAGCTGGGTCCTGACAGGGGAGCCCCAGAAAGAGAAGATGGTGACACAGGCCAGGTCCCCTCCCCCAGCTGCTCCCACCCTGGGCCTGTGTCCACCAGCTCTCAAGCCTGGGGATGCAGGAAGGTGGGTGGCCTTTGTGGGGGGAAGGGCGCCAGGCCGAGTCAACAGGGCTTCCCCCCTTTTCAACAGGGAGTTGCTGCTGGGGACTGTGGAGGACCCTCTGGTGCACCCCATGATGGCCTGGTCCTCGGTTACCCCAAAATCACAGGCCGAGCTGGGGAGGGGTCGCATCTTCCAGAGGGCTGATGCTTCCATGGCTACTACTATGCTCCGAGGGGGAATGAAATTCATGGGGTCATTCTGTGGCACAGTTTTGGCATCTCTGGAACCACAGTTAGAGGCCCACTACGCCTCCTGGTGTTGGGATTCTTTTGTTTTCTTTTGTTTGTTTGCTGTTTGGAGACAGGTTCTTGTTAGGAAGCCCAGGCTGGCAGTGAACTCACAGGGATCCTCCTTCCCCAGCCTCCAAAGGGCAGGAATGGCAGGTGTGTGTCACGGTACCCTGCGTGGTGTTGTACTTCTATACTGGTCCATAACGTCCAGGAGTTGCTTTGTAAGCAGAAAATACAGGGTTTCGAGTTTTACCCCCCAGGGCCCTGGGGGAAGTGGAGGTGCGGCCAAAGTCACACTTGGTCAGCCTCGTGTGGAATCTTGGCTTCCGGCGGGCAGTGATGGGCAGTGGTGAGACGGCTGTGTCCTGCAGTGTTGGGCACAATGTGTGACTCCTGGGCTCCAAGTGTCGCCACTGTGAGGTCCACCAGGTGCCCTGTACTCAGCGGCACTGCTGTCCTCCAAGCCTAGGCCTGGGACACCTGCGAGGCTGACTGTCCACACTGCAGTCTGGGCCCCCTACAAGGCAGTCCCTGGCCCCATAGGGCCACTCGTGGGTCATGCAATGTGCTATCCAGGCAGTGGTCTGGATTATGAAGACACAGGATAAAAAGAGAATGTAAATCTATCTCTTGACTCTTTTATATTGGCTGAATCCTGAAATGATAATCCTTTAAATCTATTGGGTTAATAAGTAAGATGTATGATTAAAGTTAATTTCAGCTAGGTATGGTGGCATTCTGGGAGGCTGAGGCAGGAGGATCACAAGTTGGAGTCCAACCTGGGCAACCTATTTCTTTTTCTCTTTTTTTTAACTTTTTATTTTTTTTATTATCAGTACCGGGGATCGAACTCACGACCGTGCGCTTGCAAGGCAAGCACTTATGCCTGCTGAGCTAAATCCCCAGCCCCCTATTTCTTTTTCTTATTTATTTAATTTTGTGTGCTAGGGTCAGAAGCCAGGGCCTAACACAGGCAGGACAAGTGTCCTGCCACTGAGTGACCACAGCAATTGCCCCTCAGCTATGTCTTTTAACTTTTTAACAAAGCCACTAGGAAATGTGGAGGTGTCCCACAGTTTCTGCTCACGCCCCATCTAGGGAACTCTGCACACTTTAACTAGAAGCTGTCACAGGGTATCTGTCTTGGTCTTTTTTATCCAGAACCAAAGCCTTGCCCTGTCTCTCCCCTCACCTCTCATTTCCTGTGATTTTAGACCCACAGAGATAATTTGTTTCAAATGCCCCTCCCTAAGGTTCACTGCTGTGTGGCAGCTCAGATGCCCCCTCTTCCAAGAAGTCCTCCAGGACCACCTCACAGCTACGTTAGCCGCCCTGCTGGCCCATCTCTAACGGTGTCCCTCGCCCACCTTTGCCACAGGCTGGGACGCCAGGCTCAGTCAGCACCCATGCAGGGCCCGGCAGGCTCAGGTGCCATCCCTGGGGTTCCACCAGGGAGGAGCTGTCACCCCAATTCCAGCCTTCTTCCTGGGAGAGCCACCTAATTGGTATCAGGGAGGGAGAGAGGGCCACAGGGGGCATCCGGGGCCCAGGCCAGGTTAAGAGCCTCTTTACTCACCAGCGGAAGGAAGGTGAGCAGGGGCCGCACACGTGGCCGGGCCTTCAGCGTGGCAGTTCCTGACTCACTGACGGTGTCGAAGCGGGCGTCTCCGTAACAGATCCCATCTGTTGGGCAGAGCAAGGGGACTCCGTGAGCCACAGGACAAAGCAGGCCTCTGGTCACTAACTGAATCCATCCTGCAGTCCGCAGCAAGAAAGCCAGACCCCACGGACCCCCACCCCCGATCCGCTGAGCCCCTCTGACACAGGAAGGTTCTATGGATGGAGCCGGGTGTGGTCGTCCTAGCACTTGGAAGGCTGAGGCAGGAGGATCCCAGAGAGTTCGAGGCCAGCCTGGGCTCCCTTGTGAGACTGTCTCTCACACACAAAAAGGGTCCTACGGAGGGTATGTGTGCAAACAGGGCCGCTGGAGTGCACTGTGGGAGGGACATGGGGTTCTTCCTGGGGTCACCTCCAGAGTCCTGGGGCTTCCAGAACCAGCAGCCACCTCCCTCCTGACCTCCCTAGACAGGTCGGAGCCTGCTTCCCTTGGCAAACTGGCCTGGGGGAGCCAGAGCTGAGGCTTATCTCAGATAGGGAGGAAAGGAGCAGAACAGCCGCAGGCCTGGTGGTCCCTAACCCTAAACACCCCTCCCCGTGGGCGCGAGACAGGAGGAGACTTCAGAGGGCCCCTCTGGGTGGGAGTAGGGGGTGGCCACGGCAGGCAGCAGGGACAGGACTGCAAGGGCAGGGGAGGAGGGAGGGGAAGAGGAGGGAGGCGGTGGACTGGGAGGAGGGGAAGAACAAAGGGGGTGGGAGTAGGGGGGAGGGGAGGGGAGGCCGAGGGCTTTCTTCCCCAAGGGACTTTCTCCTCTGCAGCCAGGGCAGATCCTGAGCCCAGAGGAACCACCCAGATGTGCCCCCTTCCGGAAACTGTGAGGAAACCATAGAACTCCTCACCCAAGAGATGGGCTTGACCTGGTTTTCCTGAGCCTCCGGCCCTGCCCTTGGGAGGAACGGAGTCTGGGATGTGACTGGAGGCTCTGAGGAGCACCCAGTGTGAGATGCAGGGCCCTTGGGTGCTGCCTCCCAAGGGACATCAGGGCGCCACCTCTACAAAGGCCGTGCAGCAGGCTGTGGGAGCACCACCAAGGCTGGCCTGAGTCTGGACTGGACTGGACGGGAGGGGAGGGGAAGGGGAGGGGATGGGTTAGGCCTGATCAGAAAAAAGGATCCCAGAGAGGAGTGTCCTCCAGGACAGGTCAGATCTGAGGACACACGTGGGCTGGGTGGGGTCGTGGCAGGGACAGCATCGAGATGGCCTGGGCACTGGCAGGCCATCCGCCTGTCTCTTCTCATCTCAGTGTCTGCAGGGGCCTGGTCCTCCCGCCTGCTGCTGAGTTACAGCCATGCCGATGCCCACTACCTAGGACCTAGGACCCCCGGAAAGCCACACAGCTGAGCAACCCAGCAAGGAGGAGACGCTAAGGAAATAATGAGCCATTCCAGGCAGAGGAAACCGCCTGGGATTCTGGCACTCGGGAGGCTGAGGCGAGAGGGTCGCCATGAGTTTAAGGCCGCTGTAGGCTACATAGTGAGACCCTGTCTCAAAAAACAAAGAACACCAGGTGTGGTGGTGCATGCCTGTAATCCCAGCGCTTGGGAGGCTGAGGCAGGAGGCTTGCTGTGATTTTGAGGCCAGCCTGGGCTACAAAGTGAGTTCAAGGCTAAACTGAACTGCAGAGTGAAACCCTGTCTCATAAAACCAACAAAACAAAAGCCCTGGGCTGGGGATTTAACACCTGCCAGACAAGCACAAGGTCATGAGTTCGATTTCCAATACCAAAAACCAACAACAACAACAAAAAAAACGCCAAATCACACAACTCCAGGCCCTGATGCCAACAGATCAGACCCACTAATAATGCGGATACAACAGGTAAACCCAGCTCTGCGCCCAGCTGCCCAAACCTGAAAAAACAGCGCCAGTCTCCGCCCCCACCAGGACCCCACACCACAGGACCTGCGAAGGGCGCTCAGGTGTTCCTAAAACTCTCCGCCAAACCCTACAGGAAGATTTTCACTTACCACCCTCAGGGACCAGGGCTGGCAGAAATGTCACCCAACATCCAAACAGATCTGCTTCCAAAGTAATTGTGGGTCCCCAGCAAGAGGTTGTCACCTCCGGTTTCCACCTGGAGAGCACAGCTCCCCCCTGCCCTGGGGACTGGAGAGGATAGGGAGGACTTGGGGTCCCAGCTCTCGGGGGCCACTAGGAGGCCACTTAGGTCCCTGTCTCTGCTCTGTCACTTAGCCCTGTACCCCGGGAGTGCTCCCAGGGGTCTGAGCCCGCTTCCGCATCTCTGTCATCGTGATCGTGGTCCCAGTGGGTGTACAGCTGTGGGATGATGAGACAAACCCCAGAGTATGTTAGCAATGCCCCTGGCAGACACTGGTGCTCGGCAATGGCAGGTGGCTTTTGTCATTGTCATCCATGTCCTCATTGCTGTCTTGCCACACCCTGCCTCCCTCCCAGGGTTTGGGCTTCTGGCTTGAATCAGCTTATGCCACTTGCAAATTATGAGGAACACCTACCCATACTCATAGTGACAGCCACAGGGATCATCCTGAATCCTTACACAGGGGACACAGAGGCTCAAAGGGGGAGGGGCTGGACCTCCGCCCCAGCTCCTCTCCTGGACAAGCAGATCCAGTTCTTTAAGAGCCCATGTAAATAGCCCAGGATGGGTTTGGACTTGCAATCTTCCTGCTTCAGCCTCCTGTGTGTCTGGGATTACAAGCACGCACCACCGTGCCCAGCAGGGAAATAGCATTTTCATTCCCAATGTACAGATAAGGAAATCGAGGCACAGAGAGGTTTTGCAGCCTACCCAAGCGATCTGACTCTAGAATTCAATTCCCTGCGGACACAGCTTGCACAGCAAGGGGACAAGGGAGCCCATCTCTTCCCTATCTCCTGTGATTGCAGCATGAACCCGCAGAGGGAGGTGAGGGTCTCGGGTTTCTACCAGCGCACACCCGATCCTGTCTGCAGAGCCTGGCAAGCGTGGGCTCTCTTTCAGGCTTGGTTTCCCCACCTGCAAAGCGGGCCAATCACCCCCTACTATGCAAGAGAGGAAAGGAAGCCAGCTGGGCAGAAGGTGGAAGTCAGGGTGGGGAACACTGCCTCACCAGGGACCCCCAAACACCAGCCTCAGGTCTTACTGGATTTCGAGGGTTGAGAGGCAGAGGCCTCACTCAGTGTGGGGGTCCGATATCCTGATCAGGAGGAACCCAGGACCCCGCAGAGACTGGCTCCTGCTCCTCCCTCACCGTGGTCCATGCAGAAGGGCAAGGCCGGGGTACCAAGGGGGAGCCCCTTCTGCACTGCATGCAGAGGAGCAGCAGGGTGGCCCGTGTGAATGTAACCCAAAAATGACCTTAATGAGGCCCTTCCTTGCTAATTAGCAGGTCCACAGGGTGAGACCGGCAAAGGCCAGTTTGTACCAGCAAGCCCTGGCAGGCCTGACCCAAGCTCAGAGAGAGGCCTTTGTCTAAGGGCAGAGGGGACACTGAAGATTGGGCGGGGGTGCCAAGGTGGGTCTAGGGGGAGGAGGGGAGGACAGCAAGAGAGGAGGCCCGAGGTGGGCAGCTGAAAGGGCCCTGTGTGGGGTGGACAGTAGGGGCACAGCACACTGGCCCCTGCTTCCTGGCTAGGCCTGCTGTCCAGTGTCCAGGGCATCGGGACGACTGCCTCATGCCCAATCTGCCAATCGGATCTTTGCAGGAGAGCCTGACATGTTGGCGTATGTCCGTGGGAGGCTGAGGCAGTCACTGTGAGTTTGAGGTCAGTCTGGATGAGCCACCAAGATCCCGTCTCAAAAAACAAAAGTCAAACAATCCCAGAAGAGGGGCTAGGGGACATGCAGCTGAGTGGCAGAGTCCTGGCCTAGCAGAGGTAGGTGCTGGGTTCCAGCCCCCGTTCTGTGAAAAAAAAAAAAAAAAAAAAGTTGGGGGAGGGGAGGGTGGTGGCCAGGCTTGGGGGACACTTAAATAAATGTAGAGCCACCATTGGCTCAGGTGACTTTGAGCCACTTAATGCTTCTGAGCTTTCAGAGCTTTCCATGGTTACAGCCCGAGGCTGCATGCACAGAGGCCACAGATTCGCCCCAAGGTCCTAGGTGGTCTTTAGCACAGGGCCTAGGTCACGAAATGGTAAACACTAATAATGATACTGTTGTCGTTATTTTATTGGCAGCGTGAGAACGGGCAGCTCAAGCTGGTCTGCAGGGTGAAGCAGGTGACCACAGCGAGACTGGCACTTACATAATGGGCCGCGGGAGGGCGTGTGCGCATGCGTGTACCCCAGTGGCCAAGAAGCACCTCCCCCGGCCAGGAGTAAACCGGGGTCACCTTCCTGCCCCTCCAAAGCACGGGTCCGCTGCTTGCCAGGCGGAAGTGGGTGGTCAGCTCTGGGCTTCACGGTTTCCTAGGCTTTTGCTGGGCTTGCGACGCGGGAAGGGGAACCCTGGGACTGGAACAGCAGAACCAGCGCCCACCTCTGAGAGAACCGGGTTTTCCTGGTGAGGAGCTGTCGCTTTCCCTACCCTGCTGTTTTCAGGGTGTCCGCATTGTCCTTACAGGAGTGTGTTCCCAGTGCCCCGGTGCCACTGGGGAAGGAAACCCAGGACTGTCCACCCTGGCTTCACAACGAATCTCCCCTGCAGTTGGGTGGACTCTCAGGGCCTGGGCCCTGACTTGTGGGCCTGAGGAGGGACTCCTGAAACCTGCATTTTATTTTATTTTATTTTTGTCTTTTTCCTTTTTATCGGTACCAGGGATCGAACTCATGACTGCCTGCTTGCAAGGCAGGCGCTTATGCTGCTGAGCTAAATCCCCAGCCAAGGAACCTGCATTTTAAAGAAGTATCCTAGATGGGTGTGGTGGGTCCCAGCACTCAGGAGGCCAAGGCAGGATTGCCACACACTTTCGAGGCCAGCCTGGGCTACACAGTGAGTTCCATAGGAAATCCTGTCTCAAATCAGAGCAAAACAAAGCAAAACAATTGTCATGAGCTAGGTTTGATGCCCTAAGCCTATATAACCCCAGTACTTGAGAGGCTGAGG